GGGGGTGGGCCGAGAGGCCAGCTGTGTCCCGCCTCCACTCCACCACTGGCCCTTCTGGCTCCCCGGGGGGCGACACGGCACTTTGGAAAGCAGGGCCCCCCAAGGGCTGCTGGTGGAGTTCAGTCAGTGCCCCCCCCATGGTAACTCCCTGTTCTAGGGTGGAGCTGTCCCAGGCCTCGTTTCGGATATGGCCTGTGTCCCACCGCACAAAGGGAGGGCCGGCCCCGAGGGCTACGCTGGTTAGTGCTGTTCACAAACCACTGGAGCGTGCGCCCTCGGGCTGCTCGTCGAGTTACTGCTCAGCGGGGCAAGTCTGGTACACGCTGTCCCAGGAACCTTCTCCTCCCCTGGGCTACTGCATACAGATGGCCACATTGGGTCAGACCAAGGGTCCATCTAGCCCAGTATCCTGTCTTCCGACAGTGGCCAATGCCAGGTGCCCCAGAGGGAATGAACAGAACAGTCCAATTACCGACTGATCCGTCCCCTGTCGCCCAGTCCCAGCTTCTGGCAGGTTTAGCGACACCCGGAGCATGGGGTTGTGTCCTGGACCATCTTGGCGAATAGCCATTGATGGACCTATTCTCCATGAACGTGTCTAATTACTGTTTCAACCCAGTTATACTTTTGGCCTTCACCGCATCCCCTGGCAGGCAATTCCACAGGTTGACGGTGCGTTGTGTGAAGAAGCACTTCCTTCTATTGGTTTTAAACCCGCTGCTTGTTGATTTCATGGGGTGTCCCCTGGTTCATGTGTTAAGGGAAGGGGTAAATAACTCCCTTCCTCCCCGCCAGCCCCTTCCATCGCTCCACCGGCAGAGCTCTCTGGCCCTTTGCTTCCTGCGTCTCGCTTACTGCAGCGAGGCTGCTCCGTTTCCCGCGCTGGGTGTTCTTGTGTCTCCAGCAAATCGAGCCTGGATTCCATGTACGTTTCTCTAGCGTCCTCTGCTAAAGCCAACAGCCCGAGGGCGGCTGGAGCTCGGGTTCCTGGCTAGCGGGGCACGTTGTCCAAGGGACGAACAATGGGTTTCACTCCCTGGCGTCTTCACAAACTCTCCCTGGAGCTTAGAGAGTCGCGCTGGGCTGATGGCATAGCTGGGACGAGGCCCTGCCATGGAATTCTAGCCTCTGGGCCACCTGGACATCCCGTGGGATTCTTGGTGAGGTGGAGAGAAGTGAACAGGGGCTGGAGCCAGCTGCTATTGCATAGAGTTGAAGGCTGGAAAGGAGCATCGCTCATCTCGTCTGAACCTCGCACGGGTCAGAAAACGTCACCAGTTACCCCGGCACCGAGACCAAGAGTTCGGGTTTGACTATAGCGTCTCCGAGGCTCGATCTGAAGCCTTCATGGGATGGACAATCCACCACGTCCCTGGGCAGTTCGTTCCACCCTCCCCGGTAACAATTTGTGTCTTATTGCTAGCTGGAATTTGTCTGGCTTCAGCATCCAGGCACTGGCTCTTGTTCTTCTCCTCCCCGCTGGGTCCCGGAGCCCCTTAGCACCCCCTAGCGTCTCCCCACCAAGGGCCCGGCCTAGACGCTGGAATAAGTCACTCAGTCTGGTTTTCCCAAGCTGGACAGGCCGAGCTCTTTCAGTCTCTCTCGGCTGTTTTCTCCAGCACTTGAAGCACTTTTGTGGCTCTTCCCTGTACCCTCCCCTGTCGTTCTTCGCCCCCTTTAAAACGCGGCTCCCAGGACTGGGCGCGATATTCATGCTGCACGAGCCGGGCTGGAGTCTGGCTCCCTGTTCCCAGACAGGAGGGGCCGGACGCAGCACACGTGGATTTCTGCCGTACAAACGGCTGCACAGGGTCAGAGCAATGGCCCAGCCAGCCCTGTGTCCTGTCTTGTGACAGAGGCCGGTGCCAGGTGCTTCAGAGGGAGTGAACAGACCAGGGCGAGGATCCCAGCGTCTGGCAGCAGACGTGACTCTGAGCACGTGCAGGGAGCCAGGCTGGTCAGAGGGCTGGGGGTGGGTGCCCGCCCTGCCCGCCCTGGCCACCCATCGCAGCGCTGGCACGGCTGCCCGCCCCAGGAAGTGTGTGTGTGTCGTGCTGGCCTGCCTGGACCTCAGAGGAAGGGGGAAAAGGGACCCAACCTGGGAGAACTGGCATTGTGGGCCCAATCCTGGGATGTTCTGCGCGCGCTCTGCTCCCACTGAGCGCAGGGCCGTGCCCTGACTCTGGCTGCCCTCTGCGGATTGGCCCCGTGGCTCAGCATTGCCCCTCCTGGCCCCCCTTGGTGATAGTTCATGGCCAGGCTGCAGTATCTTTGAAGCAGCAGAGTCCTGTGGGATGGTGCCCGGGTGGGATCCGGCGGTGGGTGCTGCTCTGCCCAGGTGGCTCAAGCATGCGGTGCTGGGCAGTGTAGCTGAGACAGGACCCCCTCCCCCAGCCCCTTGGCTCTGCACCTCGCAGCCACCCACCTGCAGCACTGGGTCGCGGCAGTGTCGTAACCTCGGCCAGGTTTGCTCCCAGCTGCTGCAGATGTGGCCGGGATGGAGGCAGCTGCCTCTCTGCTCACCCCCAGCCCCTGCCCTTTGCTCCCCCGGGCCCTGCAGCATGGAGGGGGAGGGCTGGAGTCGCACGCTCGGCTCCCAGGCCCATCAGCAATCCCAGGAGTGTCTGTGGGTGTGGGGGGGCTGCAGGTTATCTCCCAGCCGGCTGGCGGGGGAGCAGAGTGGGGGGAACAGAGCCCCGCTGCATGCCCCACAGGGATGGGGACCTTTGGATTTTAGTCGTCGTTGCGTTAGAATCTGGGTGGGGCAGGGGCTGAGTCCCTCCGGCTGGGTCCCGCCCACCGTGGGCACCAATGGGACGAGCGCAGCAAGTCTCCTGCTTTGGCAACTCGGGGTCTAGGGAAACCGCCCCCCACGAGAGGGGCTGGGGTGCAGGACGAAATTGCCACAGAATCTGCCATAAACAGCAGCCTCTGCCCTGGATCTGTGGGTTGGGATTGAGGGCCAGCCCCAGAGCTGGGGGCAGGGCAGGGCTGGGCTGGCGGGGCTGCGGGTCAGGAGTGAGGGATGCCGGCACAGCTGCATGTGGGGAGCTTGCACCCGCCTGCCCCTGTTCTCCCCGCCTTTCCCCCTTCCCGCGTCGCTAACCCGTTTGACGCGCTCCTGGCAGGCTCCTGCTGCAGGCTGGCATTGACATCAACCGGCAAACCAAGGCGGGCACGGCCCTGCACGAGGCAGCCCTGTGCGGCAAGACGGACGTGGTGCGCCTCCTGCTGGACGTAAGGGCTCCTGCGTCACGCTGCGTGTGTCCGGGGGCGGGGGGGGGGGGGGGGGGAGGAGCTGCTGAACTAGCCGGGGGACTCTCCTGTCCTGGGGTAGCAGGGCATGGTCTGTTCCCCATTGACAGCTCTCCCAGCATTAGGGGGCCCCTCCCAGTGCAGGGGGCTCTTGGCCTGGCTTGCAAGGGGGCTGTGAAATGAGCCATCCCCCTGCCCAGGTGCCCCCTATGTCCTTGGGGTGCTGGGCAATGCGAGTGGTGCTGCAGCATCATTCCTGGAGCCCACCCTCCTGGGGGTGTTCCTTCGGGGGGAGACAGCTCGTCCCCAGGGCGGCTCGGCCGTGCCAGGGCTGGGGCACCGCTGCGTGTCGTGTTTGCTCACCCCCTGCCCCAGTTACCCAGCCAGCGTGGCAGCTGTGCCCTCCGTCCCGGCTCTGTCGGCAGGAACCCCTCGCTCACAGCCTGAACGCTGCAGTCCGGGCTCAGGTCCGGGGAGCTGGCTGGGTCTCGGTTCCAGTCCAGTGCCGAGGAAGGGGGTTTCCCTCTGGACTGGGGGGCTCTGCTGCTGCCCGATGCACTGCAGCGGGGAGCCGCTGAGATGGGGGAGTGAGAGGAAGTGAATGGGAAGGAGGGGGGCCGAGAGAGAGAGAGAGTCCAGTGTGCAAACCCCCTCGGCGTCTGTCATGTCCAGGGGGTGTCCCTGCAGAGCCAGGAGTGGGCACTGACTCACCCTGAACTGCAGGGCAGGGAGGGTCTGACTCCCACTGGCTTTGTGTGTCCCCGAGCCCCCTATAACCAGCCCGCCCCAATCACCCTGTGGGTTTCACGCTCATTCCCGCAGTGCACATGCTGCCCATGCAATGGGCACTGGCCAGTCCTCGCCCAATCCCGGGCCCGGGTCTCCACTGAGCTCCCACAATGCAGCTGGCTGGGTGGTGCTGGCCTGCGGGGGGCAGTTTGTCTGAGCCCACGCGCTGCTCACAAGGCCAAGAGCCTGTGGGAGTCTGTCCCAGCTGGTCTCGCTGTGGCGCCCCTGAACTGCCTGCAAGCTGGGTGTGGCTGCTGTGGCAAGCGGGGGGGGGCACCTCCGTGGCCAGCCCTGAGCGCCCCTCCACTCAATCTGTCTCTGTATTTCAGAGCGGGATCAACGCCCATATCCGGAACACGTACAGCCAGACGGCGCTGGACATCGTCCACCAGTTCACCGCCACCCAAGCCAGCAAGGAGATCAAGCAGATGCTGCGGGGTACGGAGGGGTTCCCTCCATGGGCGGGTGCTGGGAATGCCCGGGGTCCCCTCACATCCCACCAGGATGGGGGAGCAGCGCGCTCCACTGGCTGCCATCCGTGCTGACAGGAGCAGAGTCCCTGCCCCCCCTGCTGTTGCCAAGGTCAGGGCAGTGACTCCCAGCCGCTCTGAGCTGCTCTGTCGCCCTGGGGTGGGAGGTGAGTTCTGGCCTGTGTGGGGGGCGAGTCCTGGGCTCACGCCATGGCCCCTCATGCTCCACCCCAGCCACACGCAGGGAGCTCCCCGCCAGCTGATGGGTTTGGGGCTTGGACTCTGACCCACCTACGAAGGTCAAGTGCATCAACTCAAGAGCTGCTTGGAGCATTTTCTCCTTGGGGCACATGCGCAGGGCCGTTAGCCCTGGTCTAACTCCCTCTCCAGGACAGTCATGTCCTTTATCGCTGTCCTCAACCCTTCAGGGGTATTGGTGTTAAACAGCTGCCACGTTTTGCCCCAGAAGTGGCTGCCAGTCAGAGGTGGGGGACTTGGTTCTGATTCTGCAAAGGGCTGTGGGCTCCCTGGCAGGGGCTCTGTACCAGATGTGGACAGGGCACAGATCTCGCTTGGACACCCACGGTGTTCATCCTAGGATCCTGTAATGCTCTGCCGGGCCTGGCTGAGCTCCGGCTACACACGGCGCCTCCTCGTGGCTGAACAGGATAGTACGGTCTAGCGCTGCATTCCGGTTCTGGTTGGCGCGGCTCATCGCTGGAGCAGTGGGTGCTCTCTCGTCGCTGCTCTAGCTACAGGGAACTCCTGTCCCCTGTTCCTCGCCAGGGAGCCCAGAGCTCTTGCTGGGGGGCGGGAGAGGGAGGTTACTTTGTGGGTTTTTCTCTCCGACGCTTCCCTCCTGCTCTCTCGGCAGACGCCTCGGCGGCGCTGCAGGTCAGGGCCGTTAAAGATTATTGCAACAACTACGACCTGACCAGCCTGAACGTGAAAGCCGGGGACGTCATCACCGTGAGTTGGGGGGATGGGGCTGCCACCCGAGCCTGTGGGCTGGCAGGAGTTTCGTCCTTTATGCGTTCTTGGCCGCTTTCAAAGTCGTGCCTGGGCAGAGATGGACACGCGCTGCCCCATCTGCCTGCCCCTCTAGTCCTGCCGCCTGGCCAGCGCCAGGCCATTCCCTACGGTCCCTGCCCCCCTGCCAGTGCCAGTCCATTCCCTATGGTCTCTGCCCCCCCACCATCTGGTCGGCGCTGGGCTGTTCCCTATAGTCCCTGCCCCAGTGCCTCCCCATCCCCAGTGCCACTGCCCCCTTGCCGCCGAGATGGCTGCAGCCGATCACCAGCCGCCGGCCTGGGGTACCAGCCCTCGCTGGCAGGAGCTAGCAGAAGGATGTTGCCCCCTTCTCTCCTGCCGGCTGGCTCTCGCCTGCGGTTCCCGTCCCCTCGGCCCCGCCAGCGAGCGCCCCCCTCTCCGGGCCTTTCTGTCCTGCAGGTTCTGGAGCAGCATGCGGACGGCAGGTGGAAGGGCTGTATCCATGACAACCGGACCGGCAATGACCGCGTGGGCTATTTCCCATCCAGCCTGGTGGAAGCGATCAGCAAGCGCACAGGCAAATACCCGGCCCTCCCCAACCCCCGCCCGGCGCACGTCAGGCCCTGCCGCCACCGCACCCAGGCAAAGGACCTGGGCTGGGTCTCCCCGGATGGGCCTGCGAGCCCCATAAGCCCCACGGGGAGGGTACAAGGGGCCCTGCCAGATGCCGCCAGGAGCAGGGACCCTGAGAGCGCGAGCCCTGCTCCGACCCCCAGCTGAGATGGGAGCGTGGGGCCAGGTTCCTCCACCTGATGTGGCCTGGGGCCTGCGGGGAGAGGCGTGGCTTCAAAGGTGGGCGTGGCTGGCTGGGAAAGGGGCGTGGCCAGCGCTGATTGCACAGCTGGCAGAGCTCCTATGGGACAGGTCATAGCTGCCCTGCTGCTGGAGGGGGAATTCCCCCCTCCCTGCACCGCTGCTCTGAATCTGGCCCTGGATTTCTGTTCTTAGGAGCCCATCTGCCCGCTCTGCCCCCAGGGCCTCGCTCCTCTCCACGGCAGCTGGTTGTCACACCACCGACCGAGGACCTGAGGCTGAGCTGCCAAGGGGCCACGATCCTGTTCCCGTGCAGGGGAGCAGTAACCGGCTGGCTTGTGGCAGCCTGCCCCGGCGGGAGGGGAGGCTATGCAGGCTGACCAGCCCGAAAGCTCAGCACATGCTGTCACGGGGGCACGCAGCGCCCCCCCTCTGTGCTGGCCTGGCACCCAGTGCCATCCAGGCTGGGCCATGCGGCCCTTTGCTCTCCCCCTGCCGGCCGAGATCAGCTCTCACGGGCCGCTCCCAGGGGCGCGCCGGCAGCGGAGGGGATCTCCCCTCTGGGCTGTGTGCCCTCCATGGGCCTGGGCGTGCTCTTTGGGGCCCGATGCCAGGGGCTTGCCTGCAAGGTGGGGCGGGGTTGGGTGCCGGGGGCTGGGGAGGTTTCTGCGCTGGAGCGTGTCTTATTCTAGCTGGGGTGGCTCTGGGGTTCTGACCCTGCTCCTAGAGAGGGCTGGGGTTGTGCTCGGTGATTTCGAACGCACACGGGCGTCTGCTGCCCCTCGCCACAGGACGGTGTGTGACCAGCTAGAGCCTTGGCAGGGGGGGCCGAGTGACGGCGCTCTCTACAAACCGCAAGACTCTTCCTCCCTTCTCACTCCGTGCTGACCCCATGGGAGACCGCACCCTGCCGTCTGTCCCCAGTGCCCCTTCGCACTGGGTCGGCCTCGGCCCCGTGGCGTCCCTCGCAGCTCAGCACAGGCGCTGGCAGCCCGGCTGGGTGGGCCGTGGCTCTGTACAGCTGAGCCAGAGTGGTCGGGCTTTGGGCAGGGGCTTCCCTCGGTTCCCCGTGCCTCCCGCACTGCGCAACCCCATCAGGGGCGGACACGCCGGGCCGAGCTCGTGTCGCTGCTGCAGAGAAACTGAGTCTGGTGCAGATTGAGAGGGAATGCGAATGGCATCCTGGGGGCAGGTGGGGAGAGCAGTGGGGGGGACGGGGCAGGGCAGGCTGGGAGAGAACTGGGGGGCGGGGCAGGGCAGACTGGGGGAGAGCAGTGGGGGGGCGGGGCTGGGGGAGAGCACCCAGTGCGGGGGGCCGGGGGGGCGGGGGGAGGAGAGCAGTGGGGGGCGGGGCAGGGCAGACTGGGGGAGAGCACCCAGTGGGGTGGGGGGCAGGCTGGGAGAGCAGTGGGGGGCGGGCAGCAGGCTGGGTGGGAGAGCACCTGGGGGGTGGAGCGGATGCCTGGCCAGCAGGTAGAAGCCACATGCCAGCCCAGTGCAGAGGGGGTCTGCTGGGGAGGGGCTGGCAGAGCGTCTCCTGCACACCCCCAGTGGCCAACTCGTGCCATGGCTCTGGAGCCCACGCCCTGCGATGGGGTACACCCCGAAGGGGGCGAGCGAGCTCTGCTCTCAGCCGGGCAGGAGCAGCTCCCTGGCCATGCCCAGGTGCACCCCAGGGCCTTGTGGACACCAGCTGCTCAGCGAGCTGGCTGCCCAGGCAGCGGGGTTCCTGGCTGCGATTCCCGTGTGTCCCGTACCCGTAGGATCGGGGGGTCTACGGCAGAGCCCCTGCCTCACACTGGTCAGTTTTCCCCATTCACCAGCCTCCCAGACCAGGGTCCTGACGCGTCTGCGGCGTCTCCTGTCGGGAGGAAGCCGGCTCCTGGCTCGGGCAGCAGGGGCTGCGGCGGGGTGAAAACGAGCGGGTCGGAGCTTGGAACCCGCCAGAGCCCAGAGAGCCTCCCCTTCCCACGCTCTGGAACGGGGCTCTAAGAACGGGGAGCCATGGTCACCTTGCCCTCGGGGTGTCCGAGCCGACTCACTCAGCTTACAAAGTGAGATGTTTTCCCCACCTGCCAGCCCTGTTAACCCGCCCTGGGGCCCTCATTCTCCCCTGCCTGGTGTCTTTTGGTCCTTTCCACCTGGGTCACCTGAGAGCAAGGCGGGGAGGGGGAGGAAGCGCGGCCCTGGGAGGATGCGTTGCCGGCAGAGTCAAGTCCTGACTGGCTACGCCAGGGCAAACCTGGGCAAGGCAAGGGGGCTGCGCGGGATTCCTGAGGCAGGGGCTGCGGCACTGCAGACCTTTGTTCTTGGGGATGATGCGCGCTGCAGGCACAGCCCGGCTTGGCCCTCAGATCCCAGGCTGTTTGCAGGGCTGACGGCTGGAAAAGCCACCTCCTGATTTGTAACCTGAATGCCTCTGCCCTGGAGGCCTTGGAGACAAAGTACCAGGTCGCTGTTCAGAGAGCCTTGGGCGTCCTCCCAAGGGACGGGACGGGACGGGACGGGAACGATTCAGCCAGGGCTGTCCCGTTGCTCATAGCATGCCTTTGGCTGAGACAAGGAGCCGCTGGACGACCGGCTCTCTGAAGTCTTTATTGGCCAAGGCTCTGGTTATCTCGGCGATTGTGCATTCTCCGACTCCTCCTATGCTGGGATCTATTTCGGGAACTAGGCTGATGCCTCCGGCTTTTGGGCTTCGCTGGCCCCCTCTAGCATTTAGTTCTGTCCAGAGCATGGAGCTGCAGGGCCAGTGTCCTGCACCGTCCTGGGAGCGGGATCCAAGGATGGCTGCAGGGAGCGGGCCCGGGCTCGGCGCAGTGACACGGTCCTGGGGGTGGCGTCCAGCGACGCGTTGACTGAATCCCATCTGCTGTCGAGTTCTAACCTGGCTCCGCGGTCACTGTGGGGTCTTAGCCCAGGGGGCGGCAGCCTTCACGTTAGAGCTGAAACAAGCCAGACATGGGTCACCTTTCGTTCTTATCAGCTTGTGGCAGAGGTGTGGTTATCACTGCAGATCGGGGAGACCCCGGTCCCTTCGGCGGCTGGACAGGAGATTTGTCTCTAGTTTGACAAGCTGCAGAAAGCAGGCGGGTTCCTCAAAGCAATGAGACCCACCCAGCCATGGCTCGGGGGGCCGTTTCCCTGGCAGAGACGCAGATCCGTCCCGCTCAGCGTGGAGAGCTGTGGCCGTCGTTGGTGTTTTTCATTTGGCACTGCGAGGAAAGTCATCCCGTTGGCTCTGTAAATCTTCGTCCTCTCGCTGTTCCATTCTGGGCTCTGAGCCTGGGGGCCAGCCAGGGCCTTGGAGTGGCAGCTGCCGGGGTCCTACGGCAGCCTTGGGGGCTGCATGTTTATGGTGAGGTCAAGGCCTCGGTGCTCCATGCAGTGCTGGAGCCTTCGTGCCCCGCTCAAAGCGCCCTCTCTGTCCTCCAAGTGCCTCCCCTGGCTGTGACGAAAGAGGCAAACGGGGGCCCCTCCCCCGGCTCCCCAGCACACCTCGAGCACTGAGACCTGCTCCCAAAGGATGGAAAACACACCAGCTTTAATGGCTGGCCCAGGAGGCCAGGGGCTGGGGCGTTTGTGCAGGGAGCGGAGGGAGGAGAGTTCTTCCTGGGGTGTGAATGGGGGCGGGGGGGCGTGATCAGGTGGCTTTTGCTGGCCCCAGAGTGTGTGTCGGGCTGTGACGGGCCAGGCTGCTGCCTGCTTGTGCGGGATCTGGAGTCTCGCCTGGCCCAGTCGCTGGCTGTCCCTGGGTGTGCCCAGCAGGAGGGCGGGGAGTGTGCAAGCCCCTTGGCCCGTGGTGACGGCCGTGCCCCGCTCTGGAGGGTGGGTTGGTGTTGCTCCCAGGGATGGTGCTGGGCTCAGCGCGAGCGATTTGCCACCCCGGCTCCGACTGGGAGGTGCTAGTGGGAGTCCGCACACCACTGCCCCCCACTGGTTGCAAGGTCATGCACGCGTCAAGGGCAAGTTGAGGGTCCCCCTGTGCCTCGGGCCCTGCTGGCGCTCGTGGCCCGTCTGGTAGCCAAGAGGCAGAGTGCTCGGCCCAGTGGGTTCTGGTCTCTGCCAGCTAGTGACCGCGTGGTCCAGGCACTGCTGCTCCATGTGGGTTTGGAGAGAGGCCGCCGGGAAGTCCTGTGGCCTGTTGGTTTCCAGCCAGCCGGCCCTGGGGAGCTGTCCTGGCGGGGAGCTGGAATCTGCTCTCTGGGATTGGGGCCAGTCCCATGGATTCCCGAGGGGTCCGGGTGCGATGCGGCGCTGCGTTCAGGCTCCTTCCTGGCTTGGTTTTGCTTTCGTTTTGGCCGGTTGGTTTTGGTGGCTTTACGTGTCTCTTGATTATTTGCTTCTTTTTCATTTTGTCTCTTGTTATGTTTTTATTAGCAGGTCCGTGGGGCGCAGTCACCATTCCCCACCACTACCAAAAGATCCCGCTCCCAGCGCCCAGGGCGGCTGTGCTTAACGGTGACTCCTCGTCCCATCCGTTCCATTTCTTGCCTCCACCTCCACCTCCTCCACCACATTCCCATCAGCCTCTTTTCAGTTCCTTTGGCTATCACAGGCTCTCCCATAGCACTGCAGAGGAGCTGCCTTATGGACCAGGTAGTTCACCGCTCGTTTCATGGGTTTTCATTTGGTTTGTGTTCGTTTTTTGGGTTGCCTTCCCCTCCCCCTCGGCTTGCTCTGGTGCGTGTGCGAGCAGGTGTGTCTGCCCAACCCCCCCCCCTTTCCTTTCCAGAGCTGCTGTGGCGTGAGTGTGGCATGATGGATGTGTGACGGTCACTCCCCGCCCATGTGGGGGGCACGTCCCGAATGGTCCTTCGGGCTGCAGAACTCCCTAGCCGGAGGGTGGCTGCCGTGAGCGGTCCCCACCCTCGGGCCATTCAGTCGTCGGTGCTCTGCCCTATAAAGAACCCCGACACGCTTCTGCAGGCAGGGCCTGAGGGGGGGATCCCCGCAGAACGCTCTCCTCATTCTGTCTCCACCAGGCGCCAAACCCCCGTCTTGCAACGGGTGGTCAAAGCGCCATCATGGGAAACAGCACTCTGTAGCCAGCTGGAGGCGCTAGCGTGCACTGCCTGGTACAATTGAGGTCTTAGGTACAGCTGCCGGGGTTCCCTGTTAAGCTGCTGCCCAGACACAGCGGGGTCACGGGGAGTCGTTTGGTGGAGAGGGCCATGGGGCGCAAGGGGTCCTGGGCTAGGGCTGATGTTCTGAGCCCGTTTGATGATACAGGTGGGGCTGTCTTCTGCCATGGGTCCACTGGCTCTTTGGGACCAGCTGTGTGTAGGTGTGCGGACCCCGATTTGTTCCTTGCTGGTTCGACTCTCTGCGTCCTTTCCTCCCCATCTGCTGCCCGGCAGCCTAGCGCTGTGTCTACCGCAGCAGCTCCACGGTACATGTAGTGCCAGCCACTCATCTGAATGCCAGGCAGGCAGCCCCTCGACTAGACTGCATCGGTGTGTGTCGCGGGCTGCCCAGCACAGCAAATACTTGGGCTCCTGGAGCTTCTCCTAATTAAGAGCCAGGCTAAACATTTAAAGAGCTTGTCTAATTACAACCAAAAACACCGAGCCCTGGAGATTTCTGCATTGCCGCCGTTGGGCCTGGCGTGCCATCCTCCTGCTCCTTGTGCCAAACCAGTGTCCGACACTGCCCGTCTGTTCTGCACCCACCCTGCACTGCGGTGTAAAGGACACACGAGGGGCCTGGCAGTGGAGAATCGGGCCCATCGTCAGCAAGAAGCAGCCCCGAGGTGCAGATCTTGGAACTGAGAGAGGTGTTGCGGAAGCCAAATTCTAGACACGATGTTATGGCTGAAAACAAAACAAAGATCAGTTCAAACCCGTCTGTTTTCAGTGCCGGGACGCCGAAGGCACCAGCACTGGGCTAGCTCAGCAGGAGAGCCAGGCGGTGAAACTGACCGTCCGCTTTCCCAGCCCTGGCTGAGGGAAGTGCACAGAGTCACAGAAACGCATGAGAAGAGGGACGTACACAGCGGGCGCTGTTCTGACCCTTCAGGCTGGAACAATCTGCAGGGTCACTAGTGACCCGGGGAGGGAATGGGGAGTGCTCTGCTGACAGCCTGCCCTGAGAGACAACAATAAATGGGCAATACAGCTAACCCCTAGTGTTAAGAATCCGGAGGCAGGTCCCCCAAATCACCGGATTGGCTTGCAATCGGGAGATTGAACGATGCTAATAATTAATGTGGGGGGGTTTCTTTGCTTTCTGGTTTCAGAGGCCTCGGGGCGCACTCAGATCACATTTCCAGGCTGCAACCACAAGGGCTAGAAACTTCCTTTTTAAAAACGGAAGCTGAGACTCTCCCAGAATCCTGTGACTCCGGGAGCTGGGGCTTTAAGATAGACACCAAATACCGCAAGAATTGGTGCACTGCAAGCGTGTGATAACGTCACAGGGTCCGCATTGCTGCTCTGAGGCCATTGTCATGCCCCTCCTGAGCTCCACAGCTCCCTGCTCTCCGCATTGCTGCCAGGACAGCATGTGCGGGGACTCGCCCAGCAATGTCCTGGCTGCACTGTAGGGTGCATGACAGGGGACGTGGCAGCAGTAAAGGGAAAGCCAACTGGCCTGTGGGATCTCTCCTGGTTACCAATGGGCTGCTAGCTCTTTTTTCAGAGAGCCTTCAAGTGCATGTTTGAACAGCAAAGCAGGAAGCAACTCTCAATAATCCGGTGAAGTAATTTGAGATCTAAGGGGCCCGAGAGTGGGGAGGTGGGGTGCAAAGGTGACCAGAAACGTACCTTGATACTCTTCTGATCTGGAGCCGGCTTGGTACCCACTTAGAGCAGCCTTGACTTGGGCTAGTTGGGCCCAAGTAGCTGCAGCTGCGGATTGGCGTGGCACTGGGATGTCCCTGGCAGTGATGACGGAGTGGGGGGGGAGTGTGGTGGTGGTGGGGGTCAATGCTGCCCTGGAGCAATTCCTCCGGGGCCAGACAGGCCGGTAGGAGCTGTGGGCAGCGGAGTAAGGCTGTGCAGTGTTTGGCTGGCGTGCTCATGAGTTGGATTCTGGGTTTGCCTCTTACGCCAGTCGCCGCCCAGGTCTGTGGCTATCTTGGGAGGATTCCGGTACTTAGTGTTTGTATCACCGTAGCACCTAGAGCCCCCATCACGGACCAGGGCCCCGCTGTGCCCGGCGCTGCATGGACCCAGAACGCAAGGCTCCAGCCGCCCTGTTCGCATCACCTAGTGCTGTGAGCCGGGGCCCGCTGGCTAAGCCGGGCTGGGTTGGGCTAGCTCTTGCATGGGCGGCTCCGGGCGGTAGGTCACACTTTCCCCTTGGGCAGGCAGTGCTGGGCTGCTGGAGGGTTCCCCGAAAGCTGTGCTGGTGAGCGCTGATCCCGCTCCAGCGCGTCGGTCTCTGCTACAGAGCGAAATTCCCCCTGGGCCGGTGGCTCTTGCTTCTCTCTGCAAGCTGGGCCGTGCCCTTGTGTTCACTGCCCGGGGGCTGCCCGGTGGTCGTGGCTGCGGCGAACCTCTGACCGCCAGCACTCAGCAGCCCTGCAGACAGTGAGGAGAGGAAATGGAGACCCCCCACCCTCGGTTCTAGGCAGGGCACGTGTCATTTCCCCAGCTGGAGTGTGCCCGGGGCATGAGTCTAGCACCTGTGCCATGGGATCTTTGATACACACGGAGGGTCCAGACCTCATTCTTATGTCTCCTTAAAGTAGCTAGTCCAGCAGAAGAGCGCCCCCTAGCGCCATGTCAGGGCACCGCCCTGCAGGTCTCCCCTGCGAGCACTTCCAGTGCCCTCTCTGCGGGGCTTGTAGGAGCTGGCTGGCTCCCCGCGGGAGGCAGCGTGGCTGTCGGGCGCAGTAGCAGTGTAGTCATGGCCAGTTAAGCTCTTTACGTGCATCTAATCTGCCTGGTTGGTTTGTGAGATGGCAGCACGGGAAGAGCCTCTTCTCGCTGCAGGCCACATGGGCCATGCTCAGCGGGGAACCCCGGGCTGGGGACGGCCTGTTAGCTCCTCTCCCTGCCGCTCTCGGGGATGTTCCCTGGTGTGTGCTCCCTGCTGCTGGCCCAGGCCGGGTTGCCCAGCTGGGTTGGTTGTGGCTGCACCTAGCAGAGGTCATTTGATCCCTGTGTTCGGCACTGGGGCGACCGCGGCTGGAATCCCCTGTCCAGTGCTGGAGGCCACAGTTCGAGGAGGCGGCTGATGAATTGGAGAGGGCTCAGAGAAGAGCCATGAGAACGTTTAAAGGGTTAGAAAACCTGCCTGATAGTGAGAGACTCCAGGAGCTCCATCTAGTGTAGCAAAGGGAGGGTTAAGGGGTGACTTGATTACAGTCTGTAAGCACCTACCAGAGAAACAAATATTTAATATTGGGGCCCAGCCACCCTGTCCTCACTGCTCATTGGACATTTCTCCCATCACTGGATGTCTCACTCATCGGTCCCCCGCCTGCTCCGTTACCTCAACCGCGCCTGATGTGCAGACGCCGTGCATGCTCCAGGGGGGCAGGGATGTTGGTGCCTTGCGTGTCATGTCTCTGGTCAGTGCTGAGATGACTCCAGAAATTCACCCTCTGGTTGAACATTAACCCCCAGAGCGCTCCAGGAGGGAATGGGAACGGGGGTGCCGTGGGTGGGAGGGTGCCCTGCTACCCAGGCCATGTCTGCACTGTGCACGGAGGACGTCTGTCAGTCCATCACTGAATTCACGGGGGAAGAACCAAGGTGAGGTGGCTGTGATACTGCTTTGTATGGAGGGAGGAAATGCAGAAAGAACTCGCCATAAAATCATGTGGCGGAAAGGTCAATGTGGGGGAGAGGGATAGTTCAGTGGAGGAGGAAGGGATAGTTCAGTGGTTTGAGCATTGGCCTGCTAAACCCAGGGTTGTGAGTTCAATCCTTGAGGGGACTATTTAGGGATCTGGGGCAAAAATCTGGGGATTGGTCCTGCTTTGAGCAGGGGTTGGACTAGATGATCTCCTAAAGTCCCTTCTACCCCTCGTCTTCTACTTAGCTGGGTGGGTGCATGCCTAGGCAGCTGCCTGTCATTTTTTCCCTGTTTAATCTCAGGAAGATTGCACTTCCCTCTTCGCCTTCTCCTTCCATTGGCCATTACTCCGCACTGCTGGCCTGCCTGAGCGCTGATGAAGTCCTGGCTAACGCAGAGCAGACAAGTTCCATCTCGTTAAAGGCCGTGCTCCTCTCTTTTCAGCTTCCAGCCCTTGCAATGGCTTTCTCACCCTGCACAGTCTGCCCTGCGCTGCAGCCTGTGTGCACACTGAATGCATACAGCTAGCATCTGCAGTGACACCAGCTAGGATGAAATGCACCAGGGCTCTGCTGCTGGGGTCAGGCAGGAACCCCCCCTCCCGGGCTGCGCTGCCAACTCGATTGCTTCTAGTCTCATGCAGTTAGTCCATGGGTCTGGCAGAGCCCTGGCTATGGCTATAACTAGCCACAGTTGGGTTTTCCAGGTCCTGGGCATTCCAAGAAGCAGGATATTGGGCCACTGACCCCACCTGGAAACAAATGACCGTGATGTTTGTTCCTCTCAGAGGGCTAATAGAGACAGGAGCAGATGAAAGGTTTAAATTCTGGTGCATCAGCATCATACCCGTGGGTCTCAACAAACGTTCCCCTTCCCCGTGGGAGCTGGCAGTCTCTCTCCAGCTGGTTCAGAGCATCACCAGGCCAGGGACATGCTGAGTAATCTCCAGTTTTCTCCATTTCCTTTTTCAACCAGCTTTTCTGTTTCTCTTTCAGGTGCGAGGAAAGAGTTTGCCGAGCCACTTCCCTTTAACTCTGGTTTTCCTGGCGCGGGGGTTGGCAGGGGGATAAGAAATGCATGTTTGTTTGCAGGAATCCCCGGGGGAATGGCTGCATTGAGTCTTTGTGCAGTTGGGTTGAGTTGTTTCTCTGGTGTAATCTGCAAACCCCTCGTTGTGTCGCCCTGCACGCGGGGAAATGGCTCTGCTTGTTTTAACCTCCTGTCTGAGAGCCGAACGCCGCCTGCGCTCTGCACGGGGCTGCTTTCCTCAGTGGCGGCGCACACCCCCAGTGTGACCCACTTTGAAACTCCCTGCTCCAGCGTGACCCATTTGTTAAATCTGCTCCCTCGCTGCTGAGAGATCGGTTTGCAGACCCCACGTGGGGCTCGCTTTACATAACACGAGTGGGCTCCCCCCTACCGGCTCTTCAGCAAACATCAGTGTGGTGCCCAGAGCTGGGCGCTTTGACATCAGCTGTGCAAAGGGAGCTGCCTTCCCTTCCGCTCCCTCAGACTCAGGGCTAGAGAAGAGGGTTTTTCCAGGCTTCTAAGACCAAGGAGCTGCTGAACAAGTCACTGACTGGCCCTTGGAAAGCACAGCGAGCGACTCCTCAGACAGGATGAGCACAGGTCTCAGGGAAGGCCAGTGGATGAGGAACTTGGGGCCTTGTGTTGTCACTTCCTAATGGCTCGTAGGTCCCTGTAATCCCAGATGCTCCCCACGGGCTGGATTCAGCTCCCCCTAAGCACACAGGCATGTGCCTGCCTCGGTGGGCAGTCCCTGTGTAACACCGACAGACCCTGGTCGTCGGCGGGTAGGATCAAACCGGGGACCTCCTGAGCTTAGTGCAGGAGCCGCTACAGCATGAGCTACAAGCCAATTGGCTGTTAGTCAGCGCTGTAGCGCAGACTCATTTAACTCTCTTTAAGTGGTCGCGGTGCCACTGGATGGGACAGCACCCCACCCCCAGACGGTGTGTGGGTTACACATGCAGTCAGGGAGGGGCTGCTCCGTGCGAGTCGGGGGGCAGCACTGGAGCTGGCGGGAGGGCGTGACAGCACTGAGGTCGCTGGGTCGTGACTTGTTGTCTGTTCTTATTCAGAGCCCATCCCAGGGGCATTGGGGCCCTGCTGCCCTGGCCAACCACAAGCAGTGTGGGTCCAGCCCCCGCCCTTTACTTTGGGGGCACTGGCACCCCCCCATAAGCAAAGTCGAGCAGATCAGAGCGTTGGGAGGAGGCACCCTCCCTCAGCCCATCGCAGCCACCCTCCAAGCCTCCGTATGGGGAATGCACAAGTCCTGAGCCTCCCCGGGCAGGCGTTGGGCAGGCCAGGACAATGGCCTTTGCTGCCGTTCACTGACCGCCCCGCTGTCTGTGGTGGAGGGGCCAGGCCCCAGCAGGGCTCCCCGGCTCCTCTCCAAGGCCTCTCCCAGGGGTGCTGATCCGCACCCCGAGAGCACGCAGGGCTCCGCCCCTGTAGGCAAAGTGTGTGGGGGTCAGCGCAGCCCCCTGCCAAGCCTGGAGCCCCCAGTGCAGACCAAGCCTGGCCTCTGGGGAGTGGGCAGGGTCTGTAGCAAGGTTCCCAATTCTGGAAAAAGAGAATCTGTCCTCCCGGGGCTGCTCTGAGCTAGCAGCCTCCTGGGTCTGCACGTCCCCGAGCGACGGCCCGGCCCACAGGCTCTGCACTAGTCAGGATCCAGTTCGCGAGAGACTCCAGCCTTCGATGTCTGTCTCGCCCCCCGTCCCGTCTCCTTGCCGTGCCAGGAGGCTGGCTTCGTGAGACCGTTCAGCTCCGTCGTCCCCACAGCGACTCTGAGCTGCCTTCTTCCAAATCCGACCTGGCAGCAGCTTCCCACTGGCTGGGGGGGACACGGGCTCTTGCTCCGGGGTGACCGGTGAATGTCCGAGGGTGGAGAGAGTCCTACTTTAGCAGGTGTTCACTGCTCCAGGGTCATGTGGGCCAGGAGCCAGGCTAGGGCCGGGCCGTGTCAGCCCCTGTCTGGCTGAGGGGTCACCGCAGAGCTGTGGCTGGTGAATTCTAGCACGGTGGCTCGTGGTGATGGGACAGAGCTCTCGGGTCCCTCGTGGCCCCTTTCCCACAGCTAGCGTCATTGCCTGTGCCCCCCTCCCCCGAACATATGTTGTGGGGCTGGCTGCGGCAGCTGCCCCATGGCGGAGAAGCGGGTATGAAATGTTCTGGAGCAGGCACGGCCCAGGAGGCGCCCGCCTTCGGTCTGATTCCTGCTAGTCAGCCTAAACTGCCCTTCACCCACTGCTCCTCATCCTCTCCCCGTGTGAAAACGCTGCCTGGGGCAGCGGCAGCCCCTTTTCCATGGCACGTCTCAGATGCCTCCTGAGAGCCAGTGCCGGGGCTGGGGGCTGCGCTGCATTGTCTCTGTGTGCAGCCCCATTGCTGCCGGCTACACCACGCCGTGCTCACCACAGCCCTGGAGAAGCCCGTCCTCCACGCGGTTCTCCCTCGTGCGCCCCTGTGGTGAGCTCAGAGTGGGGCCCGCCGGCGCCTGAGGAAATAACCTCTGGGAGCATAGACTCAGCAGTGCTTTACCAGCTGCCCGTCTGTTCCCCGCTGCAGCCACTCTGGCTCGGCGCGCGCCTGCCATTATCAGCTGAGTCTGGTCTCGCACTCCTCGCTGAGTGAAGGGTTAGCTTTACCGGGGGCTGTGGTGTGTGGAGAGCTCCCAAAGGGGTCCTTACAAATGTGTGCCCGCGCGCTGCCCAAGGGGCGATGGAGGGTCTAGTACCTGCTCCGCCACCAGGACTTAAAATAACCAGAGAGGCTGGTTACCTTGCCGCTCTGCGAGCCGGGGACACCTGCCCTCCGGTCGGCGGGGAGGGTGCCAGTGCTGTGGGGCGGGGAGAGGAGCTGTTGCAGGGCCCAGCTGCCCTGGAACTTCATGCCAAGGCAGCATCTCCTCCCTGGGCCTGTGGTGCCTGTGGGCACAGTGCCTGGCAGTAGCTAGGCTGGGAGGCCGCCCCAGGAGGCCAGTGGGGTTGGTCAGCGGAAGGGGCCACTTGCGGGGCAGCGGGGCAGTGGTTCCGTGCTATGCCCAGCCAGACTACCTGGGTCACGCAGCTGACGCCAGCCTGAGATTGTTCCCCTGTCACCAGCCTGCGTTCCCAGCAAGTGCCCCCCGCCCCGGGTGCGCGTCTGGGTAAGACTGCACTGGTCCGCACTGCTACCCCCCTTCTCACCGCCACTCTCTCCGCTCTGCTCTGAAGGTTCCCGAGGGTCCGACAGCCCGTCGCATCTGTCGCCGTCGCAGGGCGGATCCGCTGCCACGCCGGCTCCGGTGGAAGAGATCTGGGTGCTGCGCAAACCCTTTGCAGGTACAGCCGCCTTTGCATCTCTCTGGCCCCCGCGCCCTGGGAACCGCTGCTTCGGCCCGACGCTGCCTGCTGCTGCTGCCCAGCGGCAGGCTGGCGTTCTGCTGCACTCCCCTGCGGTGGTGCTCGTCAGCGGGCTGAGCCGAGCCGACAGGAGGCTCCGAAACACCGGCTGGTGCTGGGGCCCCAAAGCCCGGCCGCGCCCAGCAGCAGGGGGTCCCCGCGGTGTGCGGAGACGTGCCCTGCCAGGCGGTGACAGACGGCCGTCGCCCGCTATCTAACCCTCCCTCTCCGTTGACAGGTGGGGACCGCAGCAGCCTGGGGAGCACAGGAAGCGTGGCCAGTGCCCGGAGCTCGGGGAGCGGGCAGAGTACGGGAAGTGGCAGCCATGCCCTGCATGCTGGCTCCGAAGGGGTCAAGGTAAAAGGCAGCTGGGTATGCGGAGGCAGCAGGTAACCCTCGGCCCCTGTCTCCCCAGGGAGCCCTGCCTGGTGGGGAGCTGGCAGCGGAGCGAGGTGGTCTCCCGTCCTCCCCCACCCTGGAGACGCTCTCAGCGTACGCACCGGATGTAACGAGAACTGCCAGTCCCTCGCCAGGCACCCGCTCCCTGCCTGGGTGCCAGATGGCCCAGAGCGCTCCAGCCCTCTGGCCTGCCCCTGTGCTCTGCCCCATGGACGCTGGGCGTGTTCCTGCCCTTCGCTCAGTTTGGATGGCGAGGCCAGGCAGGCCTGCACGGGGCTTCTGTGTTTGGGTGCCCAGCCCAGCGGGGGCAGGATGACACAGCAGACGCTAAGCCCTGCACATCCATTGGTCCCCGCCGTGCTCCTGCAGCCTGCTCTGGGCCTGGGGGTTGGGCGCAGAACGCTGGGCCCAGCTGCACTCCGGTTCTGTCTGCTGCAGCCCTCCCGTAACGGGCTTTGTGCCCTCCAGCACCATCCTGGCCCTCCATCCCGCTGGCCTGCCCCTCTCTGAGGCTGTCCATTGGGAGTGGCACCAGGGCTGACTTTGGGGGTAGGAGATCCATCCTATGCGGGCTGCTCTGTCCTTCCCTTCCCTGCACCTTCTCCATGGGCAGGGCCGACTCTAGGGGTTTTGCCGCCCCAAGCGGCACAAAAAAAAAAAAAAAAAGGCCGCGGTCGTGATCTGCGGCGGCAATTCGGCGGAAGGTCCTTCGCTCCGAGCAGGAGTGAGGGACCGGCCGCCGAATAGCTGGACGTGCCGCCCCTCTCCGGAGTGGCCACCCCAAGCACCTGCTTGCCAAGCTGGTGCCTGGAGCCGGCCTGTCCATGGGGCAGAGGGTCCCCAGGCTGCTGCTGCAGCTGGCTGGGCTCTGCTGCCTCTACTCAGCCACTCGGCCCCTGGCTCCAGACGCCTGCCCTCCCCCCAGGACTCTGGAACCACCGGGCAAGGGGGCCATGCTCTGGGTAAGCAGGCCGAGGGGGCCCCTCCCTGCTCCCCGTGGCTGCGGGAGGCTGGAATTGGGGTGTCCCGGATGGAGCTGCAGCTCCTGCCATCACTTGCTGGAGGCGAAGCACCATCTGTGCTGTGAGCTGTGTTCTCACACACTCCCCGCTGCATCCAAAATCTGCCGCGCCCCTCCCTGCCCGCCCGCGCCTCCGGCTCCGGCTGCCGCAGCGTTAGCAACACAGAGTCTCTGGCTCCTGACAGGCCCCCTCCCCAACCCCCCTCCCCCTCCCCATTTTTTACCCGTGGTGGTGTATTTTTTCAGCTGCTGGCGACGGTCCTGTCCCAGAAGGCGTCGGTGCAAGAGTCTGTGGTGGGTGATGGGCCGGGCAAGGCCCTGGAGGCTCCTGCAGGTGCGTGGCTGGCGGCTGCCTGGCCGCTCGGAGCAGGGCTGACCCTTGGTACCTACGAGGGCTTGGCGTTGATTTTTTTGCTCCTGTTGCCCAAGAGGAAAGCGCGTGGGTAAAATGACGCTCTCGCCTTTCTGCTGCTGCCAGGCCTTCTCCTGCTTCGGTTAGTCGGGGGCCGGGGGGCTGGGGAGGGCGAGGGGGTGTCCTGGTGTGTGCTCCACCTCCAGGCTGTTGGCCTGGCCACGCTCCAGGCCCACCGAGGGAGCGAGGGGCGGCCCGCGGCCTGCAGGCTCGGCGCTGCTGCCAGAGCCGTCTGTTGGTCGCTGGTCCCTGCGTGCCAAGCAGCATCGTGTGTGGTGTGTGTGTGCACGCATGATTGAGGTGCATTGGGGTGTGTGTGTGTGTGCACGGGGTTGGGGTGGTGGTGTGTGTATGATTGGTGTGTGTGTGTGTGCACGGGGTTGGGGTGGTGGTGTGTGTATGATTGGTGTGTGTGTGTGTGTGCGGGGTTGGGGTGGTGGTGTGTGTATGATTGGTGTGTGTGTGTGTGTGTGTGCGGGGTTGGGGTGGTGGTGTGTGTATGATTGGTGTGTGTGTGTGTGTGTGTGTGTGTGTGTGCGCGTGGGGGGGGG